GAAAGGTCTTGTCATAAATGAAGATGACACACATTTTTGCGTATCATAATTTTAAATGTTTTAAAAAAAATATTATTTATAGATTATTAGTTTTCAAATAAATTTTTATTTAATGTCTCATAATAGTAAATAAAATATCATATAAAAAATACAATCCATTGCATAAAATTTAATGTCATACAAATAATAATTCCATGGAAAGATAAAACAAATCAATAGAAGTTGTAACAAAAATTTACAAACTGATTAGATTCAAGAAATATAAAAAAATATATACCCTCAAATGCTTTTCAAACTCTAATCTCCATGTCAGCTCGTTAACTCACTTCTCCAGTTTGTCCTTAGCTTCTCTAAGGGCTCCAGCATCTCTTGCAGCCCGTGACAACATTCTTAGTTCTTTCCCAAGTGACACCTTTTCCTGTCTGTTAATTCCCCTATGCTTGTGTTGAGTAAAAATTTCAAAATATGTCAATCCCCAAGTGCACACAACAACTAAGGTATCTGTAATTAAACATTAAAAACTTTTTACAAATTTGCCCTCATATATGAAGATAAAGATGAAGATAAGATGAGAATCATACCCCTTCAAAGGCCTAAAGAAGAACAGAACGTGGTATTATTTCGCCACCTAGATGTTCTTCAGTGATGAGATTTAAATCGGGTAGTGAAAATATCTTGACACTAATACAATCCGCATCCTAACTGTAGCAATATTACTATAATTTGGATTTTCACCAATGGGGTTTATGTCAAGACATGAGATATCATATTTCAGTTCTGCATGCATTTTTTCTACTAAAACACCGTCACCAGTTTCAAGGTAAACCAGATGGCCACCTCTAGTAGCCAATAGCACTTGTTATGGAAATTAAAAAGGTTAGTCAAACGTATTTATTAAAAGACCAAAATACCCTTGGTTATACCTTAGTAGCGTTAAAAGTGGCAACATTTATAGAGTAGTCATTGGGTGCATGCCATTCGTTTCGTAGCTCTCCTGAACTTGAACTCACCAGTCCCATAACAACAATATTGTTAACAGGACTTGCCAAGTGCCAACACAACAAATAAATATTTTTTTTGTAATTAAAAGAAAAGTAGCAAAAATAATATTTAAAAAACTTTACCTTTTTCAGGGACTTATCTGCCAAAACCCTTGTTGTAACAGATGAATTATATAGTTAGGATTCAAACTCACCTCTACAACTAAATCCACATGTTTGAAGCTATCAGAACTGAGTACACCTTTCAACAGAGATACAATTCTTTCAAGCTTCTCCTTGGTCATTTTCCCTGCCATAAGAAGGTTGTGAAAATTAGCTGAAGATGTAGATAACCAAGTAAGAGTTGTGAGTTGTGACCATACTTTTTAAGCTCATATCATGACTCACCTTTGATTTCACCGAGTGTAGCCTCCAGAGAATTCTCATCATCCTCCTTAAATATTACATGAATGTTAGCAAGGATAAACGTTGTTGCTATTGCTATTGACCCCGGACCAATAACACCAACTCTATTTACTTTCCTTGGCTGCAACCCCATATCAGTTATACCTGAAATCTGTAATTGCTTTTAACAAGTCATGATCTCATCAACATTAATTGTTAGTATAAGAAAGGTGTCCAGACCAAACTCCAAACCTTGGAAGTGTTATATAAAGCAAAGAATATGTGGACCAAACTTTTACAAGTTTCAGTTTGCCGGAGTTCATTCAAGGCCTCTACTTCCTGTAACCAGAACTTTTTCAGCATCCATCCATCCATCACATTCAAAACAATAGAAGAAATGAGTGCAAATTAATGACATCGATGCAAATTAATGGATGACTCATATTTGGGTTCTGTTTTTGTGGCCAAAGTCTGAAAAAAAAAAGTTTTGAAGCCAAAGTTTAAAGTCATTTGTGGCCAAAGTCTAAAATAACAAACTTTTGTGGCCAAAGTGTAAAACCCTAAAACTATACTTCATGGCCAAACTTTAAAATAAAAATCTTTTGTGGCCAAAGTTTAAAACCATACAACTATAATATTCATAAGCTCTTTTTTTAATATATATATATATATATATATATATATATATATATATATATAAAATTCGACCTTAATAACAAAAGTATAAAACCATTATACATTATATTGTTATGATTTCCAAAAGGAAAACCATTTTTCCTAGTTACCATGTTTCAAAAGGCTAAAATACATAAAAGCACAATGTAGTTTCTGCATTTTACCAATTTACCCTTTTGAATTATTATTATTTTTCCTATAAACAGCAAGTAAACTGTAACACCGTAAATTTCAAAACGAAATTTTCAAATTTTATAAAACCTAATTCACTTAATATTCATAAAACAACCATATTTGAACATTCAATCCAAGTAATACAAAAATCCCAAGATCTCAAAATCATAAATCACATGTGTGTGTACTGATCAAGTCGGCGCCTTCCCACGGTCGTCACTAGTACCTGAAACAAATAACACCAAACAATGTAAGCACAAAGCTTAGTGAGTTCCCCAAAATACCACATATAACACATATTAGCCACTTGAGGCTATAACTCTGTGGGTCCGTGCACCCAAACTCTGTGAACCCTCAGGTTCTAACTCTGTAAAGATGCACAACATAAATCACAAAGAATAATGCAGCGCAACACATAACATGTAAATATAGTATACAAGCACTGTATCACATAACTCTATTTACCTACTCAAGGTAAAGTATAGTGAGAAGACTCACCTCGCGTATCTCGAAAATTCGTAAATCCCTGAAATCACTAGTGCTCGATCTCCCGAGCTATAGTCCTCCTATAACACAATACATCTCTAATTAACATTTTCCCAACTAAGGTTGACTATCCCTTAACAAGTCAACATAGGTCAACACTGGTCAATGGTCAACGGTCAACTTTGACCGGACTTGGCGAGTGCACTATAGCGACTCGACGAGTCTATACGCATACACTGATTTCCATGGGATCCTCACTTGACACGACGAGTATTCTCCTAACTCGACGAGTTCCACCTGGCATGAGTTGTGGGGCCTCCACGACTCAACTCGCCGAGTCTCAAGAACAACTCGGCGAGTCCCAGCTTGACTCAGTCCACCTGTCAACCCACTCTGACTCTCCCTGACTCACTGAGTCAATCCCTCAACTCGGCAAGACCACTCGCTGAGTGGTGCTGGGCAATCTTCATGCTACTCGCCGAGTCTGTTCTCCGGACTCGGCGAGTCCATGCCATGCAATGACTCAAACTCACTCCTGAGGTCATATCTGTTCCACTAACTCATAGATCCAGTCCTTCCAAGCTTATTTATCACGTAAAGTCGCTATCTTGATGTACATACAACATCTATATGACCATATATGATGATTTAGCCCCAAATACCACAACTCAAGGTCATAACCTCCATTGCTCTTCATAAAGCTTGATGAGTGAGGCTCTCTGGACCTCTATGGATCCAGATCCAAAGCCTCATCACTAGAAAGGGACTATTTGGGCATCAAATCAACCCAACAAAGGCCAGAAGAAACCCTAAATCCAAATATACTTAATAAAACAGAAGATGAGCTGAAATAATACCTTAAGTGCGATGTTCTAAGCTTCAAATCCACAGTATAGCAACCTCCTTTGCTTCCTCTTGGTTAGGACCTCCTTCTTCTTGCTAAACAACACCACAAAGGTCAAGAATGGCTTCCTTTCTCTCTCAAAACGCTCAAGCACTCTAGGGTTTCTCTCTATGGATTGGTGAGCACAAATGACGGCCATAAGGCCCTTTAAATAGGTCTCAAACCATGGGAATTAGGGTTTCATTACATAGCATGGACTCGCCGAGTCCACTCTTGGACTCGCCGAGTCCAGACGCGAACCCGCGTCCAAAATCGCGATCCTACTCGGCGAGTCTGAGCTCCAACTCGCCGAGTCCACTCACAATTCTCCAAAAATATACTAATAATAAATACATGGAAATTCCGGGTTGTTACAATTCTCCCCCACTAGAACTAGACTTCGCCCTCGAAGTCTCGCTCTGCAAATAACTCCGGATGCTGCTCGCGCATCTCACGCTCCGGTTCCCAAGTCATCTCGGACCCCTTCCGATGTTGCCACTGAACCAAAACCAAAGGTGCCTCCTTGTTCCTCAGAACTTTGATTTTCCGATCTCTGATTGCCACTGGTCTCTCAGCATAATTCAGGCTTGCATCCACCTGAATATCCTCTAATGGAACCACTGCCGACTCATCGGCTATACACTTCCATAATTGCGACACATGGAAAGTGTCGTGAATCTACCCCAACTCTGCTGGCAAATCCAAACGATAGGCTACCCTGCCTACCCTCGCGACTACCCGAAATGGTCCGATATATCGGGGCCCCAACTTGCCCCTCTTACTGAATCGGATCACTCCTTTCCAAGGACAGACCTTCAGGAGCACAAAGTCGCCGACCTGGAACTCAAGTTCGGACCGGCGTCTGACCTGCTGGATCTGCTCTGTCATATGAAGTACGATCTCAGTGTTGCCCATAACGCACTGTCCGACTTCTCCCCAGCGAATGGGGGTCCGACACCTCCTCCCATACAACAGCTCAAAGGGCGGCATATTGATGCTCGAATGATGGCTGTTGTTGTAAGAAAACTCAGAAAAGGGAAAATACGTATCCCAACTTCCCCTGATATCCAATACACATGCTCGGAGCATGTCCTCGAGCATCTGAATCGTCCGCTCACTCTGTCCGTCTGTCTGGGGGTGATATGCGGTACTAAAATGCAGCCTAGTACCCAGCTCCTCATGAAACTTCTTCCAGAATCTGGAAGTGAAACGTACATCCCGGTCTGAGACAATAGAGATCAGCACCCCATGCCGAGATACCACTTCCCTCACATACATCTCTGCTAACTTCTCTGCGGAAGAACTCTCGCTGATAGCAAGGAAGTGAGCGCCCTTCGTCAACCTGTCCACAATCACCCAAATTAAATCAACTCCCCGAGCAGTCCTTGGTAATTTGGTGATGAAATCCATGGTGATCTGTTCCTACTTCCATTCAGGAACCTCCAACGGCTGCAACTTACCATGCGGTCTCTGGTGTTCGGCCTTAACCCTACGGCAGGTTAAGCACCTCTCAACAAACCACGCAACATCCCTCTTCATACAGAGCCACCAATACTCCCTCCTCAAATCCAAATACATCTTAGTGGCCCCAGGATGGATCGAGAATTTCGACCGATGAGCCTCATCCATCAAAATGGTACGTGTTCCTCCCACAAACGGTACCCAAATACGCCCCTGAAAAGTCATAAGCCCCTGACCATCGGTAACGAACTTCGATACCAACCCAACAACTCTCTCTCTTTTGGTTTTCCAACCTCACTGCCTTAGCCTGTGCTCCTCGAATGGTGTCCAACACCGGAGTCATCACGGTCAATCGCAAACATACATCTCGCAACGGGGAGCTCTCTGCCCTGCGACTCAGGGCGTCGGCTACCACATTAGCCTTGCCCGGATGGTACAGGATCTCACAATCGTAATCCTTAACAACATCCAATCACCTCCTCTGCCGCATATTTAGGTTGGGCTGATCCATTAAATACTTCAGACTCTTATGGTCCATGTATATCGTACACCGAACCCCATACAAATAGTGGCGCCAAATCTTGAGGGCGAATACCACTGCCCCCAACTCTAGGTCATGGGTGGGATACCTCGTCTCATGAGGCTTCAACTGCCTCGATGCATATGCTATCACATGCCCTCTCTGCATCAGCACCGCTCCCAATCCCAAGATCGATGCATCACAGTATACAACAAAGTCCTCCATTCCCTCCGGGAGGGCTAACACCGGGGCCTCGCATAACCTTTGGCGAAGCGTCTCAAAGGAGGCCTGCTGCTCGGTGCCCCATGAAAAAGCGACACCCTTCCGGGTCAACCTAGTGAGTGGCACTGCGATCTTAGAGAAATCCCTGATAAATCTCCGATAATAACCAGCCAGCCCTAGAAAACTCCTGATCTCGGAGGGTGACCTCGGCACCTCCCAACTCATCACCGCCTCAACTTTGGCCGGATCGACCAATATCCCTTCCTGGTTAACAAGATGTCCTAGGAACTGAACCTCTCGCAACCAGAAATCACACTTGGAGAATTTGGCATAAAGCCTCTCTGATCTCAGAACTCCGAGGATCTCCCTCAAATGCTCCTCATGCTGCTCTCTAGATCTCGAATATACCAAAATGTCATCAATGAATACAATCACCGACCGATCCAACATCGGCCTGCACACCCAGTTCACGAGATCCATGAATACTGCCGGGGCATTGGTGAGTCTGAAAGGCATCACCACAAACTCATAATGCCCATAACGCGTCCTAAACGCTGTCTTCTGGACGTCCTCATCTCGCACCCTCACCTGATGGTATCCAGACATCCAATCGATCTTGGAGAACCAAGATGCTCCCTGCAACTGGTCGAACAAATCGTCGATCCTCGGTAACGGGTAACGGTTCTTGACCGTCAGCTTTTTCAACTCCCAGTAATCAATGCACATCTGGTGTGAACCATCCTTCTTCTTGACAAACAGAATAGGCGCTCCCCACGGCGAGCTGCTCGGCCGAATAAACCCTTTCTCCAGCAGCCCCTGAAGCTGCGAGGATAACTCTTGCATCTCTGGAGGTGCAAGATGATAAGGCACCTTAGCGATAGGCGCGGCCCCCAGGACCAAATCAATATCGAACTCTACTTGCCTCACGGGAGGCACACCCGACAACTCCTCTGGAAAGACATCCGGGAACTCACACACTATAGGAACCTCCTCCACCTACATCGGCCTCTTGGAATCAACCCTCGTATCCGACACGTACGCCACAAAACCCTTACAGCCCTGCCGTAGACACTGCCTCACCCTAGCGGCCGAACAAAACGCTGATCTAGAAAGGGTACCCTCGTCGTACACTATAAGAACTCCCCCACTAGGGTCTCGTATGGTCACTAGCTGTCGCTCGCAGTCGATAACCGCATCGAACCTGCTCAACCAGTCCATGCCCACAATGACACAGACATCCCCCATGGCAATAGGAATCAAATCAATCGGGAACTCAACACCGAAAATCTCGAGTACGCACCCACGGATCACCTCCGTGGCATATATCACCTTTTCGTCAGCTATGGAAACTCTCAGAGGCCGACTCGGCGCCTTGCGACTAACACTGATGTGCTGACTAAAAGCCAAAGATACAAAAAACCGACTCGCACCCGAGTCAAATAATACCAAGGCAGGTACAAAATTCACAAGAAAAGTACCTACGCATAACATAATATAAGCATAATATCTCAACATTACAATAAATACACGAAAGAATACATACCAGCCACGACATCGGGCGCTGCGCGGACCTCCTCCGCGGTCAACTGAAACGCTCTCCCACGTGCACTCGGCGCCTCGGCCTTCACTGGCCGGCTCTCGGTAGTTCTGATGGCGGCAGGGGCAGATCCCTGAAGTGCTCCCTGAGCTGATCCCCGTAACTACGGACATTCCGCCTTCCGGTGTCCGGTCTGGTTGCAGTGAAAACATACTGAAAACCCCTTGGGGCAGTCCTTGGCTATATGCCCCTCCTTGCCACATTTGTAGCAAGATCCAGCTCTACATACTCCATCATGACCCTTGCCGCACTTTCCACAAGTGCGGCCCTTCTGGATCCCTGATTTGGGATCAGCGGGCTTGGCCCGCTTGGCTGCCGGCTGGAATTGTGTCGGTCGCCGATCCCTCCCCTCAGACTCAGCCTCCTCCCTAGCCTGAGTCTCCAACTCGATCTCCCTCTTCCGGGCATTTGCCTGAAGCTCATCAAATATCCGGTATGAGGAGTTCGCCACGAAATCCCGAATGTCTCGCCTCAAAATACTCAAATACCGGCTCATACGTGCCTGCTCAGTGGACACGTGCTCAGGGCAGAACATCGCCCTCTCGTGAAACATCTTAGTAATCACCGTAACAGACTCAGTGCCCTGCTTGAGGGTCAGAAACTCCTGGGCCAAACGCTCCC